ATTTGATTTCAGGATGTAATTTATATGCCTCATAAGCTTCTCTATTGAAGAATGAAAGTTCGGATTCATTCTCTAAAAAATATAATGAAATATATTAATTATAATATAATAATTATAATGAATATAAATATAATAAATAATACAAACCTAATTTATGTGAAATTAAAGTTGTTTCATCATTTTCAAAAATCCATTCATCATGATCAAGGTTTATTGTTAAATTTTGAGCCTTGAATAACAAAAATTATAAAGAAGCGAATATCATTTGAATTATATATATGTGCATATATATATATGATAATAATTAACTAAATTTTTAAATTATTTACTTTTGCTCCATGAGCTTTTGTATAAAGTTTTAATGTATCTTGTAAAGGAGGGGAAATACATAAAGAGAAGATATATAAGTGTAAGTGAGAAGTATTTAAAATGTTTGAAATATTTAATAAACTTTATTTACCATAATTCACATTACGAAAAGGTTTAAATCCCGCAATAGTATTTATTTCTATATTTATATAAATAATTTAAGATAATTATAATCAATATAATAATTATCATAATAATCATCACAATATAGAGTTAAAAAAAAAAAACAGAACTTTCTTTAATAATATTTTTCAATTCTTCCACAGTCGTAGCTTCTAAATTAACTTCATGTAAGATTAAATATTTGACAGTACGATATTCGAAATTTTTTATTAATCGGATGGTTAAAGTAGCGGAATTTGGAGGATTTAATGTGTTCGTGAGAACGGATGATACTTGGGTCATTTTTTGAACTAATATATAATATAATACACTTATCTACCCCTATATAAATATATTTTTAAAGTAATTCTCACGTGATATATATAATTGTGTGAGGATAAATTTACCCTGTAACATTTTTAATACGTAAATAATTGAATCAAACCGACATGTATAGTTAGAACCAGTATTTGTCAAGGACAAAATTTATTTTTTTAAAATGTAAATGCACAAAAGTTTACTTGAAAATCTGCTTTGGGCTATTAATTAAAATTGTTTGAAATTGATTTTTATATATATCTATAAAGTTTTAATATCCATTTATGGGTTGGTTAAGGGTGGGGACATTGGGACATAGGACACAGGGATAGTCAAAAAAACTGGACCGTGGTGTCCGGATAAGAAAGCTTCCCTTAAAGCTAAATCATTACCTGTAAGCCACTTTCTTCACACCCACATTCTAAAAATGTACTTTAGACTATTATTAAATATTATTTATTTTTTTCATTCGGAATATTGCCAAGGATGACGAAAATAAAAGAATCTGGTCATTAAAAGACCAGATTTCTTCATTACAATTGGAATCTGAACTGAATATGCTAGAATTAGAACGTAAAAGGCAAGTTATTGATTAAGATCTTTGTTACGTTATAAAAGTTTCATTATTTAAACTTGTTATTGCAGAAAGGCCATCCATCAAGTAGCCAAACGAGGATGTCATGCATATGCTTACATAGAATTTGGACAAATGGAGAAGGTACAGATTTACAAGGTAATATTTATATTGAACTGAAGCCACAGAAGGAAGTAATGATTTACAATTAACATGTTCCATATAATGACTTCCTTTAGAGAAGAGAACCAACCAGTATGAAACTTAAAGAATTAGATCCAGTGAATTACGATGAAAGTACAGATTATTCAGATGTAAACACATGATAAAAGTTGCTGTTTTCTACGTCTAATCTAATAAATTTTACAGACCGTGTCATCTGCTCATTATGACACATTTGCCTATAAATATGAAGATCAGGAAGAGGAGTGTGCAAATGAAATTGGTAAATTTTTATGGACAAGGGAGATAATAACAAGGTTCATAACAGTTATATTAACATTGCTGGATTAAAAATATTTCCTCAACTTAAAATAATGTGTAAAGGATAATAATTATCAGATATTGGAGAACCCATGCATGTTTGAGAAGGTGTTGGATTTTCTTATATTTTAGAATATAAAGTACCACTTAAAAATCCGTGTTTTTTCCAAAGTTTTAATAAGTTATGATATACTTGGATAAAACATTTGAATCTACCCTCTATTATGAGATGGAAAATTATAATGAATTAAAAAAATACTATTTCATTATTTCTATACGTGAAGAAACTCCATTTTAATTTGAAAATAAAGTATAATTTTTTATTTTCTTTTTTTAGTTTTTTATTTTTTTTAAACCAATGGAGCCATGTTTTATATGTTTTATTACTAATAAAACAAAAGAATACGAAAATTTGCTTAATATCTCCTCGCTGGACTTAATGATCTTCCACGTCGTCTACCCAACCTATTTCTAGGTGCACGTTCTCGATCTGTTACCGAAGGCGCTGCAGGTGCTCTTATGAAAGCAAAATCACAATGTAATGTTGAACCAAGGAGTTTTGTACCATTTACGTTTTC